TCATGTAATTTGCTACAGAGGTGGTATATTTTCTTCAAATTTGAATGGGCCCGGTACTTACCCTCTTTCTAATAAAAAAGAATCACCGAAATCGGTTCACAAATGTTGGAATAATCGCGTATCATACACACAAAAAAGAAAAATATATTTTCTGTAGTCGAATTGAGAACCTCTTCCTTTTTTTGAAGTCGGTCTAAAACTGACGAAAGTAATTTTATTAACCTCTAATTGTGAAGTCATTGGCTTTCGATTAGCTATATTATGAATCTATTTTAAGAAACATTACAGTAACGTAATGTACGAGAGGCTATAAACGTTTCCTTGTAAATGTTCTTTAATTCCCTCAACAAGAACCCTCTAAAATATTTGAAATGATGCAGAGCGCCCGACATAGACAGAAACCACAATGAGAAGTCAACAATTTCCCTCTCTGTCGCACTCGTAGTCAAAATAATAGATTGGTAGAGTAGACAGACTGACAAAGTGACGTATTATAGGTAATGTCGATGAAATGTTTGTAGCGGTCAATGAGCTCTAGCAAAGACCGATCTGCAATTTTGTGACAAATTTGTTAACTGAGCTTACGAAATCAGGTCAATTGTTAAATTATAAATTTTGTCGCTTTTGAGGATTCCGTACACAGATGCTGGAAATCCGTATGAGGGTGCGTAACACTAGCGCACAGTGTATATATTATCCGTCTATAATAACATCACAATAATCATCTACCTTATATGATTGGCAAATGAAAATGCAATGAAAATGTTTGGTATTTCATTCGTATATTTTTTGTTTATGTGTCACGCGACAAATCGGCATTTGTGAACCGATTTTGATGATTATTTTTGTTTTATTGGAAAAAGGGTACCACAATATTAGTCCCATTTAAATTGGAAGAAAATATTCCACCTCTGTGTGGCAAACTAAGGAATGAACCGGTTTCGCATACATTCCGGTAACCGATTTCAATAAAGCAAATTACATTATATATGCAATTCCACTAACTTTTGAGGTCGGTTTTCTTTATAAAAAAGTTACAATTATTAACACATAGCTCTATATTTTTCCTAGAAATCATTAAATGCACCAAACTTCGTTGTCTTATAACAAGGATTCATCATCATCATCAACCCTATACGTCCCGCTGCTGGGCAGATCCGTGCCTCTCAGGCGGAGGTTTAGGACATAGTCCACCACGCCAGCTCAATGCGGGTTGGGTTCTTCACACGTTTTCCGAGTGTCGTGGACTTTCTTCGACATGCATCATGATATTGTCCTTCACCAAAAAGTTGATGGTAAATTTCAAATTAAAATTCGCACATGAACTCCGAGAAACCCAGCGGTGCGAGCTCGGATTCGGACCCACGGCCTCTGCTTGAGAGGCGATAGGTTCAACCAATAGAACGATTACACAGGGCGATATTTAGCAGCGATGCAAATGCGATGCAGCAGTGGTGCAGTCATTAATCGTCTACATTTACACTCGCGCGCGATTTTAAGTAGCTGTGCAAACGCGATGCAAGCGCGCGACTGCTTCGATACAAACGCGTGATTGCATCGCTTCACTTGGGATTTACAGGCAATTGCATCGATGCAATCGCGCGTTTGTATCGAATATATGTTGTTTAAGTCTCATATGCTTGTAATTTCACCAGCAGCCTTACCCTTTAAAACTGGAGCGCAATAAAGCTCACATTACTGCTTAGTAGCAGAAACAGGTAAGGTGGCAGTACTTTCCTGGACGAACTCTTACACAAGGAGCTCTACTGCTACCAAAAATATGCATGTACGGGACTGTCAAATTTATATGGAAGTAGACAAGACCTCGTGTGTACAGAATTAGTTAAACAGTATATATACCCACTAGCTGGAGACCGCGACTTCGTCGTCGTCTGCGTAGAATGAGTACTTCGAGTAGCCTACTGTACTTTAATAATTTTCATAGTTTTATTGATTCTCCATACAAAGTTTCATCCCCTGTATCACGCCCTTTAAGATTTATTTTTGTGACAAAAAGTAGCCTATGTCCTTCTTTTAGGTTCCATCTATCTCTATACTGAAATTCATCAATATTGGTTTTATTTTATTGGTTTAGTTTCGGATTTATAATATTAGTGTATGATATGATATGACACACTACTGGTATGATATGACACACACGCACGCACACGCACACTCACTCTCTCTCTCTCTCACACACACACACACACACACACACACACACACACACACACACATATATACACACACACACACCCCAACACCGACACACATCATGTAACTTTACATATATTCATTCCACATTTTTAAGACTGGCTGTATTTTGCTGCTTGTTCGTTGCTTATAGGTTAACCTTAATTATTTATGTAGCAGTTTTAAATTTACCACAGAATTTTTGTTTTGTTTCCTGATTTTCAAATTTGTTCCGCAAAGGGAGACCTGGTATCTCATAATACAGAGTTTACCTAGTTTGAGCACCAGTCTTCCACAATAAAAAGTATACACTGTATTTTATGTACTAGATATAAGTTTAACTGTGGAAGAGAATAAATTCATTATTATTATTATTATAGTGTGAAATGGAAATGAAAACTAGTTTTTTCTGATCCTTTGCAGGTCCCCTGAGTCAGCCGTAACCATGGGACCTCTAAACCACCCGTAACGTTGGTTTGTTTGAAAAAACAAATATACACAATTAAGATTCGGATGGAATAGTTTCATTTCCAATAGATAGTGTATTTGTTTTCGGTAATATTTGTTACATTTTGAACCCCGATTTAACTACGTACAGATAGAATTCAATTTTTAATAACGACGATCACGACGAACGAGTTTCAGCAGTCAGAGTTGTTATATAGTCCGCATATATAATAATACATTTCTGAGGTTGAACCGATCAATTTTCAGAAAAATTGCAAAGATATACGTCCTTAATCCTTACGTTCATAAATCTTTTTGTCTCATTTTTGAAACCGTAACATATATTTAGGCATCATAACGACACAAGTTTAACTTTGGTCTATCAAGACGTGCTTCGATAGTAAATTTTAAGCAAGTATGCTTCATCTTTAACCTCGTATTTATTTACGATCAGTTAAGATAGTGTTAAAATGTTTATCTAAATATTATACTTACGGTTATAAAAAGTATAGATATCACTACATACATTTGGATCCGATTTATTGTGAATAGGATTTCCCCGAAGATTTATTTCAATTCAATATTACATCGTAGAGGGGAGCGTTTTGTATTCAGTCTGTGGGGATTACTGCATTTAAAAATAAACTAAATTAACAAAGAACATTATTTATTTCATTAAATTAGACATCAGTATATAGTGCCGTCATTTTCTTACTAAAACCAATTTAGATTGATTGATATACAATCAACTTAAAAAGTATAATCACAATTAAAAAAGGTAAAAAAGTACCGTTTGAATTGCTCGAAATTGTAATGATAGTAATAAAAAATCCAATTTAATATACTCGTAGAAGCAAAAACATGCTTTTTCAAAATCAATATGGGTCTATCATAATAGTATCTGATTATATTTTAAAGTATTTTCCTTTTATTTTTAAACACAGCAATGGAAGAAACCAATGGTCGATATATGCGATACTGTTGGTGTTTTTTGATTGATGACGTGTTGTTTTACCTTATGGCGGTTAGTTTTAATGTGATTTTAATCATATTGAATTTTTCGACATCATCTTACACCTGTAGTCTTGAATTTCATAAAATTGATGATGATATTTTAGTAATCGAAACTTTATTTATCTATATCGATCAATTTGTTTCTGTTTAGTATTTACATTTTTAGTAATGGGTACGGTTACAAAATGTTTTTCAATAAGAAGCAAGATAGGAAAACTTATATTTTTTCTCTGAGTTAACTACACGCAGAAGGCTGTTGATGCCCTTTGTGTGCAATTTAACAATGCGTTTAGGATGCTGTTTTGGCTCCCCCAATTCTGCAATGCGTACGGAGTTTTCGCGGAAGCGCGTTGTGATGATTATTATGCCATCATCAGAAAATGAATAGGTTCCATCGCATCGACGGCATCTTGGAGGTCATTAAGGATAAACCACTTTGTCCGTTTTACAGGCATTGGATCGGGAAGCATACAAATGGCTCCCGAAAATATTTTCATATCAATTGCAATGTTCATAACAATTATGGTGCCACTTAGTGCTTTAAATCGCGAAGATCTGAGGGCCACTGCCACTGCGCCCGTCACCCTGAGTCATCAGTTGACAAGTCTTATGGACCTGGCATTTTACCAGCAACCTTACCTTATAAACTCGAACGCTCACATTACTGCTTGGCGGCAGAAATTGCTAAGGTGGTAGTACTTCCCTAGACGAACTCTTACACAAGGAGCTCTAGTGCTACTAAAATAATTACATATTTAGTAGCAGTAGAGCTCGTTGTGAAAGAGTTCATCCAGGGAAGTGATGTTAAGCTTGTCACATGTACATGGTACTTGTCAACTTATGTCTCAGGGTGACGAACGCAGTGACAGTGCCATTCAGATCTTTGCGAATTAACGCTCTGAATGGCATTGCAACTGTCATGGACAGGCGTGTCACTTTTTTTATAAAACGAAGTGACGGGATGAACACATAACATAACAGGCGCACGACTTGTTCGTCCCGTAATATATTTTAATATAATTTTAAGATTTTACGAAACTGTATGGATTAATCAGTCCGCAATAAAAAGTTTACTATATTATATTATTTTATTGCAGAATTATTGAAGATACTCTGATCGCTCATATGGTATGGTCTGCTATATAAATTTATTATAATGTTGTTACGCTTCAGTTTTTGCTTTTAAATGCCTATAATTCAAATTTTGTTATCTACAACGATGCATTCACAAATAAATACTGTGTTAACGGCCTTTGATGACATTTGAAGATTACGGACATACCTAAGTTTACATTTCCCATTTTAAACAAGATAATATTTAGCGTACAACATTTTTTTTTTCATACCTTATACATATTGTAGAGCTTGTAGGCTCGGTGGTGGTCTTCTGGACAAGCAGTGGCTTCCATTTGGAATAGTCTTTACTCACAATATCCCAAATATATCCGTCCATTCACAGAGTCCTGTACTTCTAACATTAATGCCAACTTCTTAAATGCTTATGATTTCACAACGTGCATTGCATTTTGATACCTATGACAAAAGTTACACATTTTAATTAAGTATGATTTAGCGCAACCAATTCTTAGTTTTATTCGTATCATCATTTATTATGACAGACATAATGAAACTTTTTCATAGAAAATAAATACTACAATTAGAGGCTGATTACGAAAAATATAAAGAGGTCATAATAGAAGCCGTCGGTAATAATCAGAAATTTCTTTCCTTAGTAAAATAGAGTAGATTTGATCATAGATGACAAATGTAAAATTTCATTAAAATACAATGTGGATAATTTAGAAATATACGCCTTAATAATTTATTATGCTATATTCTCTACTAACGTGTAAAAGATGCAATATTAATAGATTTTAACTTTTCTGAAAAATTATTTATTATTTTACATGTTTAACAAGAAATAATACGAGTATAACTATTAATCGGTAAGCGATAAAATTAATAGAAAGTATTTATTGTATACATACAGTATTTATTAATAATTAAGTAAACTTTAGAAGTAAAATAATGGCACGGAAGTGTAGAAAAGTTGTTTACTTTGATCGTTGACAGTAATTACAGGAGATTTATCAATGGCGTGCGCGTGAATAATGCTGAGCGTTGCCGGTGAGCTGATGGCGAGCGGCAAACGGAGCCACGTGGCCGGCACGCGGGTCGCGACCGGGCGGCGCGGCACGCGGGACACTTCGAACCGCGAGGGAGCACCCGCCGGAAACCGAGGTGTACCGGGGCTCCTCGAGTACAGCGAAGTGGCGGCCCGCGGCGCGCCGGCCCGCGCGCCCCTCCCCCCGCGCACCGCACATGCACTGGCTCCGCAGCCTACGTCTCCGCACCACCACTCACCCCGCGTACTATGTTTGCCTTAATCGCGAATTAAGGTCCCAGTAATGTTTTCTGTTAAGCTTAGAGCTTAATTTGACGTCATTCATTACTGCTCGCATTTCTAAACTCTCGAATTTTTGCACTGCAGAAGCTTTCAATTACTCCGGCCTAACATTCTTCCGAGTAACTAAAAATTAAATAGTAATTTGAGGCCTATAATATAACTTAAAATGATATTGTTGTAAAGTAGCTATTCGTTATTATTGCGTTTTCCTTAGGTATATTTTGATTGTTCCTTTGAAAAGGGTGGTAGCAGGCCCGGAAAACACCCTTTCTTATAAATGTCTGTACAGCAATTTTCCTCAATCGCAACAGAATAGATATTGTCTCACCATTTGTTACGGAAGTGGCTTTTGGGGTATTGTTTGTTATTACAAGAATAAAAATAAACTTATTGTTACAAATAAAAATATAATAAGGGATCTTGGAGACTTTTATGATCCAAGTAAAAAGTAATCAAGGAGCAATTAATTACTAATTACTTAGCAATATAAGTTACAGAAGATGAAATGGTTTCTTTGTTCTTGTTTAATGTTCGTCAGTATTTTTTTTTCTAAACCACTCCAATTTATAGAAGTAAAACTTTTTTGTGTTTCATACGCATTCAATGTGATTTTTAATTATCGTGCAATTATCTTATAAAACGTAAAGTTTACTCAACATCGACATTAATAATAGAGTTTACAATAAACCGTTACGTTCAAGTTCTTCCTATTTAAAAACTTTATCTTCCTTCCTCCTGCTGGAGTTTAAAAAACTAAAGAACCTATTGCTAAAGAATCGAAAGACCGTAATTTCTCACAAGCGGAACTCGCAAATAGGTATTAAATACTAATTTCTTCTGTTAGGCATGTGTGTACCAGCATGTGAACTGAGAGAAAAAGTTGTGACTTTTTCATAATTAAATTATAAGATTTGACAGTTTCACAATATATGCGTGATACATTGGAGATTTTTTAGTCTTAAGCACTGAGAATTTACCTAAAGTGAGCTATAGATGTGATGGTGTAATACTAACTTTAGTATGTGTTGACTTTTCATCAAAACAATTATAGAATTTTATGTATTCATATACGTTTATATAGCCTTACTACTTTCCATTTAAAAAGTTTCTCATTGTTGCTATCTGGTGGTATTTAGACATAGTAGGTATCGCACCATACAACTGTGCGCTACGGGGATAAAATGACGGGACTTTACGTAATTGTTTACATTCTATTGTTTACTGTAAGGTGTGAATTCGTCTGTGTATCTTATGATATCACAAAGAAGTTAGTGACAAATATGACGTCGTGACATCAATGTGGGCGTTGATTCAAGTTTGACGAAACAGGAAGGTGTCTTTCCAACTGGATAACAAAACTGAAAAACAATATGCATAAGACAAGTGTAGCCAGTTACGAGAGTCAGTAAAGGCGTGTACGTATTGATAGCCGTCGGCAAGTGTCTCCCACGCCGAAAAAGTGGTCCTCGCGTATCGTGTGGACTAGTTGCGGTAGATCAGAGTGGCGAGTGGGTTGTTCTATTTGTGGTGACAGGAGAGGCGTGGGTGCCGCTGCCGCGTGTGCCGAGCTGGAGTGGCAATGACCTTGACACTAAGCGAGTGGCCTTGGGTAGCACGTGGCGGCTGACACCCGCTGTCTGTTGTCGGAACGCCGCCTTTCCCAGGGGAGCCTATTGTGGACATACCCTTCAACAAATGCTCCGATATTTACGATAATAGGTTCTTACATAGATATGTATACATGTTGAATATTTGGTTATTCCCGTAGTAAAGATTGATACCCATATGTAGGTTTTAAAAAAATTGCAATGAGTAATTCTAGCTATTATCTGTGCATTGATATGATATTGTAGAAATAAAAAGAGATATTAATTTCTACTTATGTCATTATCGAAAAAAGTATAATTGACATCATTAGCTATAAAAAGTTATGTTCCCTGACGAGTTGTACTTATCTCTTGATCGTATAATTTTGTTTATTTTTGATAAACGATACAATTTGTTAACATTGCAGTTCATAGATATGTTTCAAATATAAAATTGTGCCCTTCTTGTCATTTTGAGTATATATTCGTAGCAGGCCTACGTCGTAGAGGATCTACGACACGTTTAGAAATTGACAGAAGGTTAATTTTATTGAATTTTCTTTTTGAAAATTGTTGAAAATTGCGAGGGTATATCCATTGTAAGATATTGTGTGAATGGGTGCGATTCAGAGCGTCGGCGACGTGCGGCAGCGTGTCGAGTGCGGTCGCCGCGGGGCGGCGGCGGCGGCGAGCGGTAGCCCCTCGCCCGACCGATACGTTTACGAGCCGACACTAACTTTAAGTGACCCCGCCGCACTCGTGCGCCACAGCCTTGTTTATATCCCACCTCAATGAAAATAAAAGCGATGACTTTTCCGCAAGTTTCCTTACAAGTGAAAGTATTTTCAGCTGATTGACGCGCTCGTGTTCCGGGGTCTTTGGCTTATCTTTTTGCTTGCCTGTTGCTTCACCAATGTCCTCTGAAGTGCATTGTATGAGTACAATAAGCGTATGTAACGACTTTTCAAAGAGTTCAATGATTTTATAACATACAGAAGCACTTCCGTTATTCTCTTGTAAGTTGGTTTATTATCTCGTAGAAACCACAAATCCCACCCATAACAATGCTGCTAAACAAGCAATCACACATGACGATGACGCACCACGTGCCGGAGATAACTTTTGCATAATACGGTCGTAATCTGACTCGGAAGTCGTAGGTTAGTTACATGCGATTTCATCGGAGCATCAAGTGAGTCAGTAATACGAAGGTGAGCGAGGTGGCAGGCGCAGGCGAGGCAGGTGTCAAAGAATGCGTGCAGCGCCGAGTGGCTGTGTCGGAGCCGCAGGCCGCTCTCGTGCGCCCGATAGCCGACATGAATGAACGCCGACTCGCTTTTTATCGCCACCTCGTAAGCGACGCTTTAGCTTCAAACACCTGTAATTTGCTTGTTTGTGATTGTCAATCACAATGACCGAGCTCCGCCGACGATACAAGTCGCGTTCGAATTCTCGGCGTTCTTGTCTGACGTTTAACTCAATGAAGTGATTGACAGTGTGTGTCGTCATTGGGGTTTGTAGCATCTGAACCCTCATTGTTATGATTTTGTATCATTATGATTTGATGTATTAATTAGCTTATTCAGTGTTATTGGTGAGCTCCAGCTCCAACAATCTTATAACGATTCTCTTCATAGTAGTTCTTGAAATGAAATCACACGTATTAAGATTTAACCGTTCCAGACCCATAAGTTACCTAACGGCTCTTATCTGAACAGCCGTTAGAACTTTTGGGTCTATAGGTAATTAATCTATACTAAAATTTTATAAGTATTATTAAACTATAAATATACTTAAGTTTAAGTTCTACTTAAAGGCTACGAATATAACATTTTAGATTCATATGGGTGATCGGACTGGTTCTGGTAGCAGCAAGTTCGAGAACGAGTAGCCTCGAGATGTAATTAATATCGTGTTGTTTATAATGACTGCTGAATTACCCACATCGATATTGAGGAAGTCGATTATTAACCTTAGCTATTACCTATTACGTTTACCTTTGGTATAAGTACCAGGTTGTCCACCTCCGATTAGAAATGTAACTCGTTTTGTTTTTGCTATTTTTATACATTATTATTTTATATTTATATTATATCGTTATTTAAGTGGATGATGTTAATTCTTTTATTTTAAAGGTTTTATGCCAATTAAAACGATCGCTTGACGAGGAAAGGCGATGAGTGCGAATTTTTTCAGATAACTACAAATAAAAGAATATCGTATGTAAGACGTAATTGGTATTAAATCCTGACAATACACACTATATTGTTAAAAAAGAAAAAATATTTATTTAGTCTCAACTTTTTGTAACAAATAGAAAGCCCACACACAAAAACGAATGCCATCATTGTAACTTTTTTTATAAAAAGTACTAACCTCAAAAGTTCGTGGAATTACATCTATTTGCCATGTTTTATTGAAGTGCGCAAAATTCATCACCTAGTTAGCCACTCTTAGAGCTGGAATATTCCCTTCAAATTTAAATGGGACCAATAAAAGGTACACTCTTTTCAACAAAAGAGAATCATCGAAATCGGTTCACAAATGCCGGAGTAATCACGTAGCATACACGCTTCCTATTTTGTAAGACGGTTCAAAATTCAGTACTTTTTTTTACGCACGCTTTGTGTTTAATTAAAGGAAGGACTGATTTTAAAACAAGTTTGTCCATGTATTACGGTTACGGATATTCATTGTTAAAATAGGGCGTTACTATAGGACATACTATAGGACAGTAATTCATCATTAGAGAATAGGATACTCGCAAACATTGAACAGACCAATATAGAGTCTAGTTTTTCTAATAAAATATTCTAATATTTACATTAATATTACATATATTTTGGAGGCTTACAAATTTATTACGAAATATAAGCTTCTTTATATACCACTAACTAACCGAAACTAATACTATAAATGAACACAAATTACAATTCTAGATAACTTCATTTAGTCCGCATTCAATGGTGATATATGTTACTTTTATAATAAAATATCCAACTTAATTAAAACAATAGATAAAACTATAATAGACAATAATCAACTTCAAGAACTTCTATTATGTTAATGTTACCATAAATTTTGGACAATAATTAAATGGTATTCATTTAATGTAATAAATTATAAAGCTGTAGGAATAAAGTAGAAAAGTTACAGTTATTAGTTAGTATATTTAAGATTTATTGATAATTCTACACATTGGTTTTATGGAATATGTGTCATTTGCCTTTCTTACTACGCCGTTTTGAGGTATCATATAAGGACTACTATGTTATTTAAAATCTT